TCTGTATCTGGGTTTTCTGTTCTGATCCATTGGTCTATGTCTCTGTTCTTGTGCCAGTACCATACTGTTTGGGTTACTATAGCCTTGTAGTATAGCTTGGAGTCTGGAAGATTGACGCCTCCAAATTTGTTCTTTTTGTTTAAGGTCGCTTTGGCTATATGGGATCTTCTCTAGTTCCATACGAAGCGTAGAATTATTTTTTGTAGATATGCAAAAAATGGCACTGGTATTATATTTTAATGGGGATTGCATTGAATCTATAGATCACTTTGGGTACCCTATCTGGGGGATGGGCACACTTATAACTTTGACTCAAATAGCACAAAAGCAATTTATGTAACCAAAACGTATGTAACCCCATAATATTCTGAAATAAAATTTAAAAAAAGAAAACAGAGTGTTCTGTTATGTTCTTCTACTGCTCAACCTATCCCCCTATCCCAAGGATTCATGTCACACTTAACAGCCAAACTCCTCATGTTAACCTGCCAGATCCTACCCAGCGTGGCCCCTGACCTCTGCTCACACCTCATGTCCCAACACTGGCCATCCCTCGCCATGCTTGGTAGTCAAGGCCCCTCGCTGCCCTGCAAAAGCAAATGCACCAAGAGCACACGGACCTTGGAGCCTTTTCACTTGCTGCCTAAACATTCTTATTCACTCCCTCCAATAATAAGGCCTCTAGTCAAAAGTCACCTTCTCTAACCTCCATATCTAAGTAGCATCCCCCCATCCCCACCCTCACCTCTGTTTTCCCTCCCCTTTCCCTGTTTTCTGTTCCCTCCTGGCCCTTATCTCTCCCTAACTCCATAGCATATATTTAATGTGTTTATCATGTCTGCCCTTTTACTCCCTACCAGTACATAGTTATTACTACAAAGTAATACGCTTGCAAAATTTCTTATAACAAAGTGCAAGATGCTAAGACTCCAGAATATCCCAGGCTGAGCCTCTTCCTTTGTTGTAACGTACATAAATTACGTCGGGAACACAGCACCAGAGTCTTGCTGCGCCTGCCTCTCCGGGGGCCCATTTGACCTACCCTATTTGTTCAGCATTGTCACATGAAGGTGGCACTCGGCCCTCTTGTTTGCTCCTGAAGGATTTCCCAAGGGTCTCTGGCAGTCACAACTCAGCTCCATACATGCTAGATTATGAGCACAACGTTGCCAGATCTTTGGATTTTTTTTTTTAAGAAGTTGTAAGTCTGGATTTTTACGTAGGAGCTTCTAATTTTTAACACTGAGCCTACACTTTGCATAGCAACAACCTGCTGGTGCTGAGAGCTGCTGCCCACTATGAGAAGGACACGAACTCTTCACGTCACAATAAGCCTCACCCTGAGGGCTTTGCTTATTTGCCTTACCTGCCTGGCCTCAGACAGTATTTGACTTTTCAACTCTTGATTTAAGGATTTTCATCAATGCTAGGCTAAATGTAAGCTAACAATATAAAGTAGCTGCCATCAAAAAACTAAAAATAAAAAATTCCAAAAGCCTAATGTTATCTTAGGTTGCATGAATAGAGGTACACTGTCCAGGAGAAAGGAGGTGATATTCCGAGTCTGGTTCCCACTGGTGAGATCACACACCAGTCAAGGCCACCATTTCAAAGGAGATAAAGATATCGGAACTTGTTGCTAGGCGAGCAGACAGAAAGGTTGAGCAACTGTCTTTTTTCTTTTAGCTCAAAAAAAAAAGACTGTTAGGGATTTGAGCATTCTCTTCAAATGTCTAGGGGGCATTCATGTGGAAGAGAGACAAGTCTTAGATTGTGGGGCCTCTGGGGAACACAATTAGATCCAGCAGGCAGGATCTACAGGGAGGTAAAGTTCATCTCGGCATTTAGAAAGTGAATTTTCTCACTGGCAGAGCTGAATGGAAAAGCAACGAGAAGGAGTGACTACCCTGCAATATTCAAACTGAGGCTGGACCCCACTTAATGAGCATATTGGAGAGGTGGTTTGGGCATCAGAAATAAGGTGGGGGGGGTTAAGGAAGGAAAGGAAGGAATGGAGGGAGGAGGATAATGGATTTATTAAGTGCCTACTGTGTGCCTGGCGTTCTGTGCATGGCTAGATAATCTTTCATTCCCCTTTCAACATGTAAACTGTGGACCAGCCCATTCCCTATCTAATTGCAATTAACTTCCAATCCATCCGCCACACTGCAGGTGCAGACTGCACACTAATTCCGAGGTGAGGCAGTGAGGTTTCTTTCTGAAAGGACAATGAGAAGCAGAGGAGGAGGCAGATCCAAAAGGTCGCCTCTGCCCCGCTCTCCGCGCCCTCCTCTGCCTCCCACGGCAGCGGGGAGATCATTGCTCACTGGAGAGCCAGGCTGGCGGAGACACGGCCAGAATGCTCTGTCACCGCGGCGCGCGCCTCCACTCTCCTCCATCCTGAGCTTCATCGATGGGGGGCAAAATGTCTTGTTTTGTAAGACAAGCTTGACAGCTGCTCATTGTCTGTCAGTGAGGAGAGGTAATGAGAATTACTCAGCAATCGGGTGTTAACTAAGAGAGCCTCCCGCATAACAAGAGGTCCTCAAGATTCACGGGGAGAAAATTGCATCTTGCCAAACCTACTGTGCATCTCGCTCCTTCCCCAGGGGAGTCCTCGGCCTTCCATCGTGAATTATAACAAGGAGGGCCACTGCGGTTGGCCTCCCTGCCACTGTTTTGCCGCCGTACGGGCCATTCTCCGAATAGCTGCCGATGGGATCCTTGAAACTGGAACATCAGACATCGCTCCCTGCTCAAACCCTGCCTGTGGTTTCCCGTGACACTGAGGATTGAATCCAAACTCATTACCTGTACAAAAGGACATTCGTGCTGGGGCTCATGCCAATCTCACCCACCCCACCCTAAGCTCCTCTCTGACGGGGCTCTGCAGGCTTGGTTGGCATGCGCCTCACCTTGGAGTCACCAAAGGCAGACCCTGATACAAGCATCTAGACCCAGTAGTTTATTTGGAAGGTGATCCCAGGAAGCTGGGGCGGAGGGGAGAGGGAGGGAGGAGAGAGGAGAGCAGGTCACCCTCGGGCAGCGGAAGCCCAGTCCTGCCGGAGACCAGCGGGAGACTGGGGGACACGCCTGGGAGCTGACCCAGCAGGGATACGGCAGCTGGGATACCCACCCACCACACTCATTGCCTAGCACTGCCGTAACAAAGTGCCACCAACAGGGTGGCTTGAAACAGCAGATATTTGCTCGCCGTTCTGAAGGCTGGGAGTCCAGAATCAAGGCGGTGGCAGGGCCACCCTGCCTCTGGAGGCATTAGGGGAGAAATCCTTCCTTGCCTCTTCCCCCACATGCATCCAAAAAAATAACATACAAACAATAAAAATTTCCAAAAAGCCTAATGTTTATCTTAGGTTGATGAATAGAGTTACCAGCTGTCCAGGAGAAAGGAGTGATATTCTACGAGTCTGGTTCCCACTGGGAGATCACACCCTGGAGCCTAAGGCGCAACATTTCAAAGGAGATGAAGATATCGGAACTGTTTGCTAGGCCGAGCCGTACAGAAAGGTTGAGCAACCTGTCTTTTTTCTTTTAGTTCAAAAAAAAAAGACTGTTAGGGATTTTGAGCATGTCTCTTCAATGTCTAGTGGCATCTGTGGAGAGAGACAAGTCTTAGATTGTGGGGCCTCTGGGAACACAATTAGATCCAGCAGGCAGGCATCTACAGGGAGTAAAGTTCATCTCGGCATTTAGATTAAGTGGAAATTTTCTCAATGCAGAGCTGTAGGAAAGACACGAGAAGGATGGTGCATACCTAGCAATATTCAAACTGAGGCTGGACCCACTTAATGAGCATATTGAGGGTGGTTTTGGCATCAGAAATCAAGGTGGGGGGGGTTAGAGGAGGTAAAGGAGGGATGGAGTGGAGGGGATACATGGATTTTTTAGTGTATCTGTGTGCTGGCCGTTCTCTGCATGCTTAGATAATTCTATCATTCCCTTTTCACCATGTAATTATGTGGACTCACATCTCTTCTAATCTAATGCAAATATAACCCCATCATCCCAGCCAACATGCGAGTGCAGCATATCGCATTCACTAATTACCCGAGGTAAGAGGCAGTGAGGGTATATCTCTTTCTGAAAAGGAAATGATATATGCATGAGTTGTATGGATGACAGATCAAAGTCAGCCTCTGCCCCGCATCTCCCTGCGCCTCCTCTGCTCCCACAGCAAGCGGTGGGACATCTTCTCACTGGAGGCCAGCGATGGCGAGACACGGCCAGAATGCTGTCACCGCCGGACGCGCGCCCTCCACTCTTCCTCCATCCTGAGCTTCATTGATGGGTGGCAATTATATGTCTTTGTTTTATGATATAGACAAGCTTGACACTGCTCTCATTGTCTGTCAGTGGAGGAGAGGTAATAGAATTACTCAGCCAATCGGCGTTGTTAACTAAGAGAGCCTCGCTGCTATAACATAGAGGTCCTCAAGATTCACGGGGAGAAAATTGCATCTTGCCAAACCTACTGTGCATCTCGCTCCTTCCCCAGGGGAGTCCTCGGCCTTCGTCGTGAATTATAACAAGGAGGACCACTGCGGTTGGCCTCCCTGCCACTGTTTTGCCGCCGTACGGGCCATTCTCCAAATAGCTGCCAATGGGATCCTTGAAACTCGAACATCAGACATCGCTCCCTGCTCAAATCCTGCCTGTGGTTTCCCATGACACTGAGGATTGAATCCAAACTCATTACCTGTCCAAAAGGACCTTCGTGCTGGGGCTCATGCCAACCTCACCCACCCCACCCTAAACCCCTCTCCGATGGGGCTCTGCAGGCTTGGGTGGCATCCGCCTCAGCTTGGAGTCCCCAAAGGCAGACCCTGATACAAGCATCTAGACCCAGTAGTTTATTTGGAAGGTGATCCCAGGAAGCTGGGGCGGAGGGGAGAGGGAGGGAGAAGAGAGGAGAGCAGGTCACCCTCGGGCAGCGGGAGCCCAGTCCTGCCGGAGACCAGCGGGAGACTGGGGGACACGCCTGGGAGCTGACCCAGCAGGGAGACGGCAGCTGGGATACCCACCCACCACACTCATTGCCTAGCACTGCCATAACAAAGTGCCACCAACAGGGTGGCTTGAAACAGCAGATATTTGCTCGCCGTTCTGAAGGCTGGGAGTCCAGAATCAAGGCGGTGGCAGGGCCACCCTGCCTCTGGAGGCATTAGGGGAGAAATCCTTCCTTGCCTCTTCCCGGCTTCTGGTGGCTGCTGGCTGCGCCTGGTGCTCCCTGGATGACAGGTGTGTGCTCCAGTCTCTGCTCTGTTGCCATTTGGCCTCCTCCCTGTGTCTCTCTGTGTCCTCATGTGGCCTTTTTGTAGCGACAACAGTCCCTGGAGTTAGGGCCTACCCCACCGTGACCTCATCTTAACTAATTACACCTGCAAAGACTCTATTTCCAAATAAGATCACGCTCTGAGATTCTGGGTGGTGGGGGCACGAATTTTGGAGGGGACACTATTCAGCCCAGTAACAGCCCCAAATTCTCTTTACCCCTTGTCCAGACAATGTTGTACAGAGCACAAGCCCAACAACCGTCCACCTCATCCATTCCCCCAGCTGTACTGGCCTTCAACATGCTATTCCCTCTGTCTGTAACACTCTTCCCCCCAGTATCTACAGGTCTCACTTCTACTATTTTCCAGGTCTATACAGACACAAGTAACAGGAATCCAAATCAAAGTAACTTAGTGCTCGCAAAGCAGGAAACTCATTAGTTCACGTAACTGAGAAGTCAGCCTCCTGGCGAGGCCGGGTTGGGGTCTGAAGTATGCTGTCGGTGCTCAGTCTCTCCCCACGTAGGTCCAGGATGGTTGTCGGAAGTTCAGGCCTTATGTCGTTTCTCGTGAAACCTCTTTGAAAGACAGCATCCTACCTGATAGGATTTTGGCTCCTCTTGGAACCCGGGCTGACCCGATCCATCACTGTGGCCAGAGGATTAGAGAATTGGGATCAGCCGGGTCTGGGCCCCACGTCCACTTCTCAGACTGGTGGCAAACCTCATCCAGTCCACATGGAATGCACTTCCCCAAGAGAAGAGGGTCTCTGTTATCAAAGAAGGGGAAATAGGAAAGCAAAAAACAGCAGGTGGCAACTAAAAAGTCTCCACTCGTATGGCATTTCTTCAGAGAGCCCATCCCTGACCTCCCCTCCCACCCCAAATTAGCCCTATGTTAATCTTGTTCATGAATCCAATTCTTTTCCCTCACAGCACTTGTAATTTGTTTATTACGCGTATACAGTTGTCCCTCGGTATCCATGAGGGCGGGTTCCAGGACTCCACACAAATATGAAAATCCTTGGATGCTCAGATCTCTTATATAAAATGGCCTAGTCTCAGAATAACGGACAACAAACATATGAAAAAATGCTCAACATCTCTAATCATCAGGGAAATGCAAATCAAAACCACAATGAGATGTCACTTAACTCCAGTGAGAATGGCCTTTATCAAAAAGTCCCCAAACAATAAATGCTGGCATGGATGCGAAGAGATAGGAACACTCCTACACTGCTGGTGAGACTGTGAACTGGTTCAGCCTCTGTGGAAAGCAATATGGAGATACCTGAAAGCGATACAAGTAGATCTACCATTTGATCCAGCAATTCCACTACTGGGCATCTACCCAAAAGATCAAATGACACTCTACAAAAGGGACACCTGCACTCAAATGTTTATAGCAGCACAGTTCACAATTGCAAAGTTGTGGAAACAACCCAGCTGCCCATCACTACATGAGTGGATCAATAAAATGTGATATATGTATACCATGGAGTACTATTCAGCTTTAAGAAACAATGGTGACATAGCACCTCTTGTATTTTCCTGGATAGAGCTGGAACCCATTCTACTAAGTGAAGCATCTCAAGAATGGAAAAGCAAGCACCACATGTACTCACCAGCAAATTGGTATTAACAGATCAACACCTAAGTGGACATATAGGAGTAACATTTATCGGGTGTCAGGCGGTGGGAGGGGGAGGAGGGGCATATACGTACATAATGAGTGAGATGTGCACCGTTTGGGGGATGGTCACACTTGAAGCTCTGACTCGAGGGGGCAAGGGGGCATGGGCAATATACGTAACCTTAAAATTTGTACCCCCATAATATGCTGAAATAAAAAAATGTATTGAATGAATGAATAAAAAAGAAATAGAGGAAAATTCAGTAATAAACAGATCTTAATAAATAATTTAAAAAATGGCCTAGTCTCTGCATATAACCGGTGCACATCCTCCAGCAGACTTTAAATCTTCTCTAGGTTGCTTACAACAAATACCATGTAAACGCTATGTGAATAGTTGTTATACTGTATTGTTTAGGAAATAATGACACAAAAAAGAAAGTCTGTATATTTTCAGTATAGATGCTTTTATTTTCCTGAATATTTTCAATCCAAGGTTGGTTGAATCCACTGACATGAGCTCATGGAAGGCTGATTGTATTATTTCTTCAATATCCGTCTGCCTTACCCACTAGACTCTGAGCTCTCTGAGGGCAGAAATGATGTGTGACTTGTTCACATCTGGACACACCTCTGCAACCACTTACTAGTGCTTGCTTTGCCCACAGCAGGTGCTCAATAAATACCATGGAGTGGCTTTGTAAAGGACCTCAGTGACTATTCATTCCAATGAGTCATGCACGGTGCTGGGAGTAGGAGCCAGGTGTGCCAAGTGCCAGCAATTTTCAGAAACCCAGTCCTCCCGATCCCGGCTATGGCCAGCATCGCTGGAGCAAACCCAGCCTGACAGCGTGGCCCAAAGCCTACCTTCAGCCCACCTGTCCCTCGTGAAGTTTTTCCTCCAACATTGGCCTCCCTCCTCTCGCTGCTCAGCCTTAGTTGGCTCAGCTTAGCACCAAGGTCAGCGCTCTGCGGCCGGAAGCCCCGGGTTCCGATCGCGATTCTGGTACTCAACACTTCTATGGGTGCAGGAAGGGCCCTGAAACTCACTGAGACTTATTTCCTTGCTGCTTTTTTAAAGACTATTTTCTCTACCTTTAGCTTTTGTGACTATGCTGTATTTTAAGAATCCTTATAAAGCCTTCTATAAACCATCCTGGAACATGGGTGTATCTGCAAAACAGAGATAATATTTGCCAGGCAGGACTGCTGGGAGGATTAGAGAAGATGTCGGCAATGCACCTGGCACTGGGTAGCTGCTATTGTCATCATTATCATTATTTTTGGTGAGGCTGAATCTCGACAAATACCTCCTAGGACGTCAAGCAGGAAACCAATTTCCTTGAAAATAAATGTCACAGATATGAAAGGCTTATCCAAAAATAAATAAATAATATCTAATCAGGACAAAATCCAGGGGTACGGTCAGGCCACGGGAGAGGCCCTGCGGTAACCCAATTTGACCCTACCCCCCCCCAATGGCTGGAAAGATAGAGTTGAAGGTGAAACCTCGCGGACACACCGTTCTACTTCTCTGTGACCTTGCCAGGAAGACTGCAGGGCCAGAGGTGAGTTAGGTGAAGTAGGAGGAACAGACATTGCCAAGTGGCCACACAAAGAAGTCGAGATGGAAACGGCTTTGCTGTGAGCCACTGCAAGCACAAAATATGGTAGGGGAATGTGCCCACAGAGCGAAAAAATAAGATTTTTTACATGAGAGCTTTGGAAACAACAAGTCGAAGCTGCAGACGGGTCCAGCTCTTCAGTAAATACACTGGGAGGATTCAATGTTTATAACTAACAAGAAAATGAAGAGCATGAGATGTATCCCCTGAAAAAGTGAGGAAGGGAGGAATGGAACCTGATGAAAAGGTACATTTTAAAAATATCAATTGCAAGAAGAATCGACCAAGAAAACAGAAGATGAATTCTCCATAACGACAAAGAAATAAGGAGCACGAGTGGTCTCCTAAAATCAAAAACCAAAGAATAAAAGCTCAAAGGAAAGTTTATGGATCAGCAAAAGAGGGAAAAAAAATAAAGGATCAGGAAGAATTCAGACAAAACTGGGAGATAAAATATTACAATGATAAAAGCCACTTTAGGGAAAAAAAGAAAAGTAAAATGATGTGACTGAAAATGAAGTCTGGGATGTAAAGGAGAACTTTGATGGTACAAAGACAAGAAAACTGCCAAACCTTGAAAAGCTGTGCGTGGGCTGGCACGGGGACTGGAATCTGTGGGAGCCAGATGCCGGAGCTACTCCTCTCCCTCACCACTTCTCCCACCCATTGGGCACTTTCCAAGTAAGGAGTGGTACAGGAAGTTGGGGGCTTGGCTGGAGAGCAGAAGTAGATCTTACACTCTTGCAGTTCTTAAATCACAGCTATCTGTAGGAGAGAGAGGCCTGGTCCCACCTTCAAAGTATTAAGACCAGATGTGGGTTAGGCACAGTGGCTCACACCTGTAATCTTAGCACTCTGGGAGGCCAAGGTGGGAGAATAGCTTGAGGCTAGGAGTTTGAGACCAGCCTGAATAATGTAGCGAGAACCTCTCTCCACAAAACATAGACAAAAATTAACCAGGCACAGTGGGATGCACCTATAGTCTTAGCTACTTGGGAGGCTGAGGCAGGAGAATAGCTTGAGCCCAGGAGTTTGAGATTGCAGTGAGCTACGATGATGGTACTGCAACGGAGCAAGATCCTATCTCAGAAAAAAAAAAAAAAAGATGAGAACCAAAACTAACTAAAATAGCGAACTAGCCCCAACCAGCTCAACTTCTGATCAGACTAAAGAGTAACTGAAGACTAACCCCTTATGTTAGCTGCCTGAAAGAGAAAATCTGAACCATTTCTGGGGTAAAATATTATCATCTTCAGTTTATAGCTCTTATATCCAAATTCTGGCACACAATAAAAAAAATATCAGGATAAATCAGGAAAATGTAAAGAAAATCAAGAGAAAAACAGATGACTAGATGTAGAACAAGAGATGACAAATATAATTAGTGTACCAGTACTTTAAAATAACTATCATAAGATATGTGAAAGAATGTGGAGTAAAATATTAACAATATGGGTGAAAATATGAAAAAAATTCAAAATATTAATGTCAACTCCAAAAGAAGAATTAAATGGAAACTCTAGAACTGAAAAATACAATATGGAAAATTGAAATAGAAAACTAACTCAATGGGCTCAGTAGTAGACTGGACATAGTGAAAGAATTAGTGAAGTTTAAGACAAGTCAATAGAAATTATCCAAACTGAAGCAAAGAGAAAAGGAATTTCTGCAATAGAATGTTAGAGAGCTATAGGACAATATCAAACAGTCTAACATACTCGAATAGAGTCTAAAAAGAGAAGGAGTGAGAAAATAGTACAGAAAAAATATTAGAAGAAATAATGACTGAAATTTTCAAAATTGGTAGAAAACATAAACTTAAAGATCCAAGAATATCTACAAACTCAAAGGGCAAATGCAGTGAAAATCACATCTAGGTGCCTCATAGCCATCACACTGAAAACTAAAGATAAAGAGAAAAATCTTAAAAAGCAGGAGGATAAAAGACATCATACATTTGGGGAAACAGAGGATAACCCCTCAAGTATTCTGCAAAATACTGTTCAGCATATTCATGAGAAGAAACTATCCAAGGCTAGGGAAAGAAACATCCAAAAAAATTAGAGAGAACAGTACCTGGTCATCACATAGGGCCAGGAATGTCCATCCTCAACAAGGTAAAATTCACAATGTATGACATACAAACTGTATGCTGCCTACAAGAAATAGCTCTTAAATATAAAAGTAAAAGAATGGAAAAAGGTATACTATGCTAACATTAGTCAAAAGAAAGCTGGAGTGATCCTATTAATATTATGCAATGTATATTTCAGAGCAAAGCACATTACCAGGATTAAAGAATTTTATCTCATAAAGATAAAGAGGTCAATTCATCAAGAAAACATAACAAAACTAAGAACTAAAAATATACAAAGCAAAAACTAATAAAACTGCAAGGAGACGTAGACAAATCCACAATTATAGTCGGAGATTCTCTCAATAATTAATATAACAGGTAGACAGGAAATAAACAAGCATATTGAAGATTTGAACAATGCCATCAACCAACTTGATTTAATTGACATTTATGAAGAAACTAGGTAGCCATATGCAAAAAAATAAGTAAACTTTGATTTATACCTCACACCATGTACAAAAATTAACTTAAAATGTATCATAGAGCTAAGTGTAAAACCTTAAACTGTAAAATTTCTAGAAGAAAACACAAGATAGAATCTTTGTAAACTTGAGTTGGGCAAATATTTCTTAGGACACTAAAAGTATGATTCATAAAAGAAAAAAATTGATAAATTGTACTTTGTTGAATTTAAAAAATATTATCTCTTCAAAAGACACTGTTAAAAATATAAAAACCAAAGCCACAGACTGGGAGCAGACATCCAATTAAGGACTTGAGTTTGGGTTATATAAAGAACACTCAAAGCCCCAAACTGGGAAAACAAACAACACACTTTTAAAAATAAGCAAAACATTTGAACAGATACTTCGATAAAGAAGACACCGTGGGTGCACATATATGCACATGAAAAGATGCTCATTATCATTAGCATTAGGGAAATGCAAATTAGAATCAGGAGACACCACTACACTTCTGTTAGAATAGCTAATGTTAAAAAGCCTGACCATATCAAGTGTTGCCAAGAATGCAGAGGAACTAGAAATCTTCCTACAGTGCTGGTGAGAGTTTAAAATGCTACAACTTTGAAAAACAGTATGTCAGTTTCTCAGATACGTACTTCTTTTTTTTTCTTTTTTTTTTTATTTCAGCATATTATGGGGGTACAGATTTTAAGGTTTCAATAAATGCCCATTTCCCCCCCCACCCCCCACAAGTCTGAGTCTCCAGCATGACCATCCCCCAGATGGTGCACATCTCACTCATTATATATGTATATACCCATCCCCCTCCCCCCTGCCCAATACCCTATTACTGTAGTACCTATGTGACCACTTAGGTGCTGTTCAGTTAATACCAATTTGCTGGTGAGTATATGTGGTGCTTGTTTTTCCATTCTTGGGATACTTCACTTAGTAGTATGGGTTCCAGCTCTAACCAGGAAAATATAAGATGTGCTATATCACCGTTGTTTCTTAGAGCTGAATAGTACTCCATGGTATACAGATACCACATTTTATTAATCCATTCTTGGATTGATGGGCACTTGGGCTGCTTCCACAGCCTTGCAATTATGAATTGTGCTGCTATAAACATTCGAGTGCAGGTATCTTTTTTGTAGAGTGTCATTGGATCTTTTGGGTAGATGCCCAGCAATGGGATTGCTGGATCAAATGGTAGATTCACTTGAGATACGCACTTCTGATTCAGCCATTCCACTCCTAGGTATTTATCCAGGAGAAATGAAAGTGTATGTCTGTACAAAGCTTTGCACACAAATGCTAACTGCAGTTTTATTTGCAATAGCCAAAAATGGTAAACAACCTAGACGTCCATCAACAGGTAAACTTATAAACAAATTGTGGTGGCACATCCGTACAAAGAAACACTACTCAGCAAAAAAAAAGGAGTGGACAATTGATGTGCACTACAGCATAGATGAATCTCACAATAATTATGCTGAGTGAAAGAAGTCAAACAAAATAGAATACTTACCCTATGGCTCCATTTTCATAAGACTCTAGAAAATTTAAACTAACCTATAGTGACAGAAAATAAATTAGCAGTAATTTATTACCAGGAGAGAGGGGTAGTAAGAAGGTAAAAATAAGAGGAATTACCAGGAGTACAAGGAAGCCTTGAGGATGATGGATAGGTTTACTGTCTTGATGCAGTGATGACTTTATGATGTAAACGTATGTCAAAATTTATCACATAGTGCAATATGTGGAGTTTCTGTACGCCAATTACACCTCAATAAAGCAGTCTGACAAAAGTCTCCCCCAAAAGTTGTACACTTAGGACTTGTGCATTCTGTGTACTAAAATTACATTTCAATAAAATACTGTTTTAAAAAATCACCCACAAAGCCCTGAGCCTGGAGAGTATGAAATGAATGAAGTGGATTATTTTCCATTCTTTTGTGTCCTTCTTTGGTGGCTTGAGTTTTTTTTATGATGCATGTATCACTTTTACAAAAATGATGAAATTATTCTTGTTTGTAAAACAAAAACAGCGCATGCTCTAAAGTCAAACTGAAATGAGTACCAATTCCACCTGCACCACTAATTCACAGTGTGAACAGAGGAATTTTTAATCTCTTGGTGCCTCAGTTTTCTCACCTGTAAAGCAGAGATAACACAAGCACCTGATCCTTTGGGTTGAGGTGGATTTAAATGCGATAGCATGTATAAGTTGCTAAGCACAGTACCTGAGTAGTAAACAGCCCCACTGGCCAGTGGCATTCTAGCTGAAAATGATACCAAAAATCCAACGACGCTCTTTAGTTCACAATACACACAACGTCATCAAATTGTATTCGGACTTTTAAAAAAGGGATCTATGGGAACATAGAGAAAAATGCATTCACCTGAGAGCAAATATCCAATCTTCAGAACAGCATCCCTTCCACTTGGGGGTGACAGAGATAAAAGTCTCAGTTTCCTTTGGGTGCTTATTTCTCGGACCATTAGTAGAATTTCATTTGTCACCTACGCACTGCAAGCTTGGGTGTTACTGAAGAGAAGTCTGATGAGTCCCCAGTGCAGGTGACTGGCCTCGGCATATGGAGGAATTTTCAGTAGCTGATCTCCAGACACAGCCAGATGTTTCCTGGATGTTCACAATGGGATGTCTCCTTGAAGTCGGCCCTGGATGCACATTGGGTCTTCAGAGCAGCTTGGAGAAGAAACGATAATCAAAAGATACTACTTTAGACAATTTCAATAATTTTTTACTTTGGAGTAACTGATTGTTATTTATTTCCAAACAGGCATCATGATGCTTTAGCAAGCAGATATATTTCAGGAAAGTGGTCTGAATATAAATCCAACTTCTTCATTGACTCTCTTATAAAATTGTAGATAGGTTTGCCCTGGGGGTGAGGAAGCAAAAAAAAAAAAAAAAAAAATTCAACATTTTTAAAAATGCCATGAGTGTCCAGGTTCAAGGCTTTTTTTGTTGGTGTTAATAAAATGGATGATTTTTAAAGCGTTTTCAGAGCTTTGCAGCATTTTGCATGAATTCTAAGTTCCCTTTTCTCTCTTGCCAGGCAAGAATTATCTTCTTCTGGCAACAGAATTATCTTGCAGATTACATAATCTCCTGACACTCCATTTTCAAATTCTAAAGTTCAGCTCTATTTTTTCATTTATATAAAAATAGTACTACTAGATGTGGGCTTCAATATTATAGTTCGCCAGTAGTGACCACCTTGTAAAAATGTGCTTGGGTCTCAATAATTCTTTATTGTATGTAAAAAGAGTTCTAGGGCCTGCTGTATTGATTTCTTATGCTCAAACTTTCATGAACCTAGTTTGCTTAAAATTAGGAATATATGTGCCAGGAAATGTCAGTAAGAAGCTCAACACAAGCTTACTCAAGTCGAACACAGTAACACTGGGCATCCAAGGATCTGCCATAGCCCAGGAGTGGGCAGGCCAAGAGAAACCTCGTACAGAGGGAAGGGAACACAACAGCTTTTTAGGTCTCTTTTATGCCACAAACAAGCCAACGGGAGTTCCCTGGGCCCCTCTGTGGCAGAATGGTGAACAGAACAGAAAGGAGATGAATGCTCATGAACGGACAAGACAGGAAGGAGAACATGAACTCACGGTGAGGGGAAGCTAAAGATGGTCTGGACTGAGAATACCAACCTCCCACAGAGCTGAGTCACGAGAATGGGCAACACTATGGGGTGTGATTTAAAGGAAGACTTCATGGCCCCCAGCATGTCCCCAGCCCGGGGGCCAAAGCATTAGGAGTCCACTGTTAATGAGGCAGAGAGGAGACCAAGGCATCTAAAAGAACGAAAGATCTCAGAGAACAAGGCGAAGGGAGGTAGCAGAGGGAAAGGTAACTTTATCAGACACTGCTCTGCATTGCTAACTGAACCTGGACCTGCTCCTATTTGAAACAGTCTCCATGTCTCCAGTGAGGCAGTCTCCTAGGAAAACATGCTCCCTCCAAAATGCACAAATGCCGCACAGAAGTGGCCTCCTACCTATGCCCCTTTAGTGGGTTGATTCCATTCCTGACTCACTCTTCTGCTGTCATCAAATTTCTCCCAATTCCTTGAGCTCACTGTGTTGTCCGTGAGCTATTCTCTCTACCTGGGCCCTGGTTCAGCATCACTTCCTCCGCACATCTTCCGTGGTCACACTTCTCCCTTTGCCAGGGTTAAGTGCCCCCAAGTCCTGGGCACCCTCCTCCAATATCGTACTTGTCAGCCTGTGCTGTCAAGGCCTGTCAGCCTGCCAGCACCTCCACCACACCTCCGGGTCTCTTTCACTGTTCTATCCCTCTGCCTGGCCTGTTGAAAGTGTTTGTCATTTCTTGTTGAATACACAATCAAGGACACACCTACAACCCCAGCGCTGCTACAGGAGTTCTCCTTCCTGGCCCCACACCCACCTAGCTATGCACCTTCTCCTTCAGTCCCTCCATTGTTCACATTTGGGTCTAACTCCGTGACAACAACTTCTAGATGGAATGGTCCCTGCCTGGGAGAATCTAGGCCAAGTATGTGTTTTGGGAAAATTGCAGTTTTTTCTTTCTTCTTTTTTTTTTTTAGCTGAGATGTAAATATTATGGTGAATCTATCCGACAAAATTCAAGAGGGCCGTAGCTCAAAAAGCAAAGTAGGGCTTTCTGCATTTTAATAGTCCCTGAGACGCCTGCAGGGGGAGACTAAAAGCAGGTATGAAACAACATCGTATGGCTGCATTGAGAAGAGGCGCTTCTGTGCGGTCCTCGGAGCCACAGCTGAGAGCTCTCCAAGGTCCTGGCGCTGGAACGGAAGTGATCTGGCTGGGGGGACAGCGTAGGCGGAGACAGAGCTTGGACTGAGCTGAACAGACCAGGGCTCAAGTCAGATAGAAGAGAGGAGGGCAGGAGAGAAAGAGGGAAGCAGAAGGAGTGGGGATTAGAACGGAAGGAGGAGTAAAAAGACAAGAGGAAAAAATGGAGAAAAAGGAAAGTGGAAAGACCGGTTTATTGTGTATTTCCTAGTTTTGAACCATTACATACTTATTATGGAAAAACTTAAAAATACAATAAAGTAAGAAAAAATAAACTCACTGATAATCCTTTACACATTTTTCTGTAGTTCCTTCCCCACTTTCTATTCGCATATAAGAGATTTTACATGGATTTGTATCTTGCATGTAGCTTCTTAATCCATCTGAGATTTATTTTATATACAAAGGGATGCGGCTCTGAATTTTTTTCTACCAATTAACCAAATGTCCAGCACTATTTGAATGGAGTACCTTTTTCTTTATACTTTTTCACTTTCCCCTAAATATCATCAGCTGTGTTCTTATATTTCTATACTGTGTTTCTATCCTACATTGTAGCCTGGCAGTAAGGATCTGGCAATCACATAAGCCAACACTGGAAATCCAACCCTTTTACTAACCCGACGGCCTTGAGCATGTCCTGTAAAATCTCTGAGACTCTGTTTTCAGTATCTGTAAAATGGGAGTAGTAATAATACTCCATAGGTTTGTTGACGATAAAGCATTGTTCACAATTCTTAGCACATACTGAGAATTCAATAATATTAGTGATTACTAACCCATTGCTCTGTTCTCATCTTTCCTTTAAAAAAAAAAAAGTATTTTTGAATATCTACCATGTACCAGAATCTGTGCCCGGCCCCAGTGCGACAGGGAAGCACAAGAAAGTGGGCTTGTTGCCCACAGCTTGGTGTCTGTTGCCCTGATGCTATTTTAGAACTGCCACCACCCCAATACACACGCACTCTGTTCCTCAGTAATTCCGCTTTCCACTGGGACTTGGCTAAAGAGCTTGCTAGGGTGTCCCAGCTGTTTCAAAAAGAAGTATGGGTTCTGTGGCCAATCCTCGGGGAAAAGCAGATGGGAACTGACAACCGTAAGAGACAGGGCAGCAACCGTAGCTTCAGCGTCCACCATGCCGTTATCCACCGTGCCAGGTACAGAGTTTCTGATCCTCTGGGTTCACTGGAACCAGAGGCACGAAAACAACTTCCTCCCCATCCACAACCCTCTTCCTCCCACAGAGATTCCGCTTCCAGGCACCTCAACCAAAAGAAGTGGGACAAAGCAAGCATGATGTTCCCACCCCCTACCTCAAAGGCCTGGATAACTCCCTTCTGCCTACAACCTTGGAGATCAGGGACTCGTCTCCGAATGGCAGGAAAGATGACTTGAGAAGAGTGTTTCATCCCAGCGGGGACGCCACATTCACACAAAACCACCTGGATTCTCTCCCTCCTTTGGGAGAAAAGACACGCGCCCTGCTCCCTTCCTACTGTGCTTTCGCAGGAAATGGGGCCCCAGGGCGAGTACCCGCCGCCTTCTGCTGAAAACTGACGCTCCGGGTCAGCGCAGACGCGGCCTCCCTCCCGTGCTACTCTCCCTGCGCCCCTCTGACGCTCAGGGACGGCTCCCTTCCCTCCCCGGGAAGCTCTTGTTTATAAATTACAATGGTCAGAAAGGCACTACGTTGCCAGAGAAGGAAACTCTCCATGTTCTTACTTGTAGTCACCAAATAGCCAAAAAACGGACGAAGGCCCAAACTTGGTGTCAGAGAGAATTAGCCCAGGCCCATAAAGCGGGCTCAAGAGCTCAAAGGCGCATGATCGGAACAAGGATGACGCACAGGTCCAGCCATGTTTACGCTCCCCCCGCCCCACCGAATGGACATAGGGCTTGAGAATTTAGTTCCGGCACGAGTTCGGCCCCATTTTGCACATACCGGAGAAATAAACAATTGTATGAATCGAGTGCCTTCTGTTTTCTCATGACGGCTTTTCACGTTACAACTCATGTAGAAGAGTATGATCTTCATGAGATCCCTGGCAGCCCTGAAGCCGAGGGGATTGGATACTTCAGGCTGAGGTTGGAGATTCTCTGGAGCCCAGGCGAGGGGTTCCAAATGCAGAAAGAAGGATGGTGGAGAGGAAAAAGACACGTACTACTCAGCCTCTGCCCTCAGGCTTCTCAAGGAGGCATTGTCCTTATGATTTTTCATTTATTTCTTTCCTCAAAAACCTTTAAGCCCTTCTTAAAGTGAGGAAGTGAAGTTGAGAGAGGTTAAATGACTTGTCCTTCCTGTCCCGCATTTGGGTACCTGGAAACGTCTGCTCATCTTTGAGGACACAGTTTAGATGCCCCTTCTCTGATGTCCTGGTGCCTCAGAGTCCTACAGGCCTTAGACACACCTCTACACTCACACAGATTCCATGGGGGCTGAGTGCCTGGGTTGGAATCCCAGCCCCACAACTTCCCATGTGTGACTTGGAGTGAGTTACTTAAACCATGTGTCTCATTGTCCTTAACTATAAAATGGGAATGGTATTAGTAATTCTTATCTCATTGATTACTTGTGAGGATTAGTTGAGTTAATAATACATGTAAGCACTTAGGAAAGTTTGCCTGGCAAACAGTAAGCACTCAATAAATGTGGATTATTATTATTATTATTATTATTATTATTATTAGGCAGTCATTGTGCTGAGATCCCTAAGGACAGAAACAGTGTCTTATTCATGAAAACAGGACCTTGGCAGTCTTGCCACCTGCATGCCAATGCCTAAAATAGAACCTGCCAAGAGAAAACACTAAAGGAATATTTGTTGAATCTTGGGACAAATGAGTTAATGAACTTAACCCTTCTTCCTCAGTGCCCAGCATCAAATAAGTAGATGTCATACATCATAAATAAACAACTTCATGTGTGTTTTCAGCCCCCAAATTCTCTATGCACCTCCGTACTTCTTGCAGGAAGGTGCAGACCATTGTCCCCTGACAAAGTACTTGAAAGGAACAACCACCCAGGTTTATGAAGATGTCCAAAAATCCAGCCATGGAAAGCCACCCTAACTTTAATAAGCACCCTTGAGCCTAGCTGGAGTCCTTCTGTGAGGAACTGAAGCTAATTTGGCCTTCTTTGGCCTTCTGATATACTTTCAATAGGAATAAAAGCAACTTTGATTTCCCCTCTGGCCTATAAATAATTCAGTCCCATTTGTGTGTCATTGAATATCTTTTAGCAGGAACCATGCAAAGGTCAGGGCCAAATAAATGTCTCTTCAATGTTTGTGCATAATGTCAAAGAGTATTTTTAGGGCAAATGGTTTTCAGAGAAGAGCTGAAGAGAAATGGTGAGGTAATCATGTTCAAGCGCAGATATTCCCGAACGGATTAGCGTGGGTTTTCCTGACAGCACCCAGAGCCAGACAGCTCCCGACTGCATTGCTAACCCGGAGGAGGGTTGATGAGGACTTCGCTGCCCCCAAAATGGCGTGGTGCAGCTTAAGCTTCTCCCAAACCTAGAAGTGGTGCCAGAACAGTTTCGTCCTAGTTTCTTAAGCCTACAGATTCTAGCAGGATTAAAAAGAAGAAGAAAAAGGAAAAAAAAATTAAAGCACAGGCTTCTTTCTGCATATGAATTAAATGCAGCAATTAACTGCGCAGGGAACAAGACCACAGGCTTTGAAGCCAGGCAACCCACCATCTTGGCTCTGTCACCCTCTGGTCATGTGATCCCAGGCCGAGTACCTCAACCCACTGAGCCTCACTGCTTTTATCCATGAAATGGGAATAATAGCAAAACCCACATCACAGGGCTATTGTGGGAATTATGGTAGATAAGGCAAGTACAAAGCTTAACATCATGCTTGGCGCAAGGTGCTCCTTAAAATTACATGTTCTTCTAAATATGTTGTAGGCCCTGGTTTCCAGTGCCTCTTTCTCTTTTTTGATCTGTTAGGAATCCCTCAAGAATCTGGTTTGTTGATGCAATCCTTTCTTATTTTCCAGTCCATTGCTTTATATATTCTCCTTTATGTCCTCTGTCCCTCTCTCCCTCTCTTTTTTCATTTCATGGGATTCAGGGCGATAGGGGAGGCAGAAAGCTGTGCTCGCTCCTCTGCCTGGTCCTAACCCTTGAAATCCATTATCCAGAGAATCGAGGCCCACAAAGGCTGTTCACCTTAAGATACCTGAAACCCTTGCTTAGAAAAAGCATCAAGGGTAATGCACCCATTTGCCAAACGAGGACATTGAGGCCCAGAGAAAGGATGTGACTTCCTCAAGAAAATGAGGTTCTTCATTTGTGGTTTGCATACCCTCAAAGGATCCCAGGTAGATTTAGAGAGTCCATAACTTCAGTGAGAAAAAAATTAGAGGAAGATTTTCAATAACCTCTAACTGAAAGTTTTCATTTCCTTCAAGTGAACGTCGATGACCAAGCACAGTGGTACATACTTTATTACGACTCTGTCACAAAGGGAAACCACAGATATTTTGCCATCACATCACAATTATTATAGACATTGCAAAATATTATTCATGCTTAGCACAACCTTTGAAATACTGATCGTTATTGGACCTGCACCAATAGTTCTAGTTATTTAAGGCATTATTAAAGAAGTATGTGTATTATTCTGTCATAAATTTGTTATTTTTTAAGTATTTTGCCAGTAATTCTAATTATTTTATTTTAGGAATTAAAAAAAAATTTTTTTTGAGGCAAGATCTATGTATTCACCCAATTTCCCTTAGGGTCATGTTCCCCAAAAAGGTTAAAAGAGCTAGTGAATGGCAAAGCTGCCATCCAAATGTGTCTCCCAGAAACTTCAGACACATGGCCCCTCCTTGGAGGAGGCTAGAGCTCTCTTGGCCTCCAAGCACACCCTGTGTTGTTCATGCTGCACCTACAATCCCCCACTCTTCCTCCCCGTCATTATTCAAGCCAGGGGGGAAGAGGAGGGGGAAAAGGAGAAGGAGAAAGAGAAGAAAGAGAAGGAAATGAACAGCCACCACCCTGATGGCAGGCCTTAAAATCGGCCTGGTGACTTAGTGCACAACAACCCCATCTAGTAGGTACAGAGGAAGTACTAGACAGGCCAAGGGTTTTGTTCAAAGCCACACAGCTGGTGAAGGTTAGGCCCAGGACTCAAGCTTGGTCTGTGAATTCTAGACCACTGCTCAGTATTGCTCCATGATCATCTCTTCTGCCTAAAAGCCACCCCCAACTCCACTCGTCCAATAGCCTCTTCCCTTAGCAAACACCTTCCTAACACATCATTACACCCAAATTGTCTTATCTTTATCTTTATCCAGGGTAGTCCATACTCTGTAATTCTCATTATCTTAAAACTAGCAAAAGTTCCATGAAGAAAGTCTTCATGTCCAAGGGATCATGTCTGAAAGACAGGGACAGGAACGCTCCTTTGCTGCCCAATGAGTGTACCAGTTAGGACAGACCAGGTTATGCAGCAGTAACAAATGGCCCCAAAAGGTCAGTGATTGACAGTAACAGTTCATTTTTTTCTTGCTCCAACTGCACGTCTATCGGGTCAGCTGTGGCTCTGCTCCACGTCTCTTCCCCCTGGGCCTGGGCTGGTGGAGCAGCCGCAATCTGGGACAGTACTTTGGCAGAGGGAAAAGAGAACATGGCTCTTAAATCTTCTGCTTGGAAGTGACTCATGTCACTTCTGCTCACATTTCATTGGCCAGGACTAGTCAAAAGCATGACATCATTGGGGGGAGGGAAGCAATAGTCTCCTCCAAGGAGGGGGAATGAATATTGCAGTGAATAATTCAGCTTACATAGGGAAAAGCCCATAAAAAGGTGCTACCTTTTGACTGCAATCTCTAAACATCTTCAGGTTTGACTTCTCATGCATTAATCACATATTTACAAGATTGACCCTTGCTTTGTCTAATTTGTATTCATCATAGTCTTAATTATGATAACAAATTGCCCTTTAAAATTATTGAAAAGGTGCCACTTTTAGAGGGTGTGTTTAGAGGAGAAACTACTGTGTCTTGCTCCCTTCTCCCTGCAGTTCTGGCCATCCCTCCAAGACTCTGACACTGCTTGGTCACATTCTCTGTTGTCCCAGGCACAGCCCAGGGCATGCAGCGCCCACACAGCCCCTGGCTCCAAAATGCTGCTAATGAGTGAAAGTTGTGTGTGCTCAACCAAGGCAGGGAACAGCGTTGCAGCCTGCAAACACTCTTCCTAAGCCCTGTTCTCTAATGAAGGGGCTGCTCTGGGTTAATCTTTGTCCCCTCTGAATTTAAATGCCGAGTGGAAAGAAGAGTGTCGATGCGGCAAGATGGATTAGCAGAAGGGGCTGAGGAGCTGTGTCACCAAAATGGTTTTTGTCTTCCCCCTTGATTAATGAGAAGGAGGCCAGGCTGCGCTTTTATCTCAGACAGGTCTTGTTGGAGAAATGTTAATGATGTCATCAGGTGATGGATTTTCTCATACCTGCACTCACTAAACCGTGCCAGATCTATCAAGCCCCGCGTGAGGTGGATTGAAGAACAAAGAGCTTAGAGCTGCAGGAACAATCCCCTTATAATCAACTGGCTGAGAAGACACCATGGAATGGGTGGTGGGGAAGGATGATGGAGCAGAACAAAAGTCAAAAGCTTCTGAAAATCGGTGACCAGGAACCAGACCTAGCCCACAGGTGCAAGTGTGTGTTCATGTGTGTATTTACCTCATACATAGTTTTGTGGGATTTTTTTGCTTTGCTTATTTTTCCCAACATTTTATTATAAAAGTTTTCAAATACATGGCAACCTTGATTCGTTAACATTTTACTGAACTTGATGTCTCCCATACCTAT